GCAGCTGCTCGAATCTCTTTATTGGTTAGATATCGTGTGTCATGTCTCTCTGGTGGCATTCTGATATTTGATATATGGATATTTCTGGTTGTGGAGATGTCACATACAATTTGAACTCTTTAATGACCTTGGTCAAAATAATATGAGCAGAAAGTTATCATCTTCTGCAACAGATATGCTTCGCAGATCGATCCATCGGGATGTGTTTTATTCTTAACAATTTTTTTTATTTTTTTTAAAAACCTGCAGCACATAAATTTTACATTGAGTATGGTGGTCGTTTAGTGTGAAATAAAATGCTACTTGTAATGTATGCATCAGGAAGACATACATCTCGAATGAATACATTCATTCGTACTGCACTGGACCCCCTAGTATAGCCTCATAACATAGATGTATAGTCAAATGCTCCATATATTTGAAGAAATTATGAAGAAATATCCACTCAAGCTTACAAAATAATAGAGGAACACTCACACAAGATGTTTCAATGAGTCAACTTTCAGTGTTCCTGCACACAACTTCCTGAAGAATATATTAACTTCGATCAAGGGATCAAGCACCGGTTTTGGCAGTGCATGAAATCCAATAGGTAATTGGCACTACAGAAATATATGACAGTCGTGATTCTTCATGCCAAATACCTTGCATGTTTCCAAGTTAAAACAACGGCTTAAATTTGAAACACAGCCACCGAAAAACTATAGAGAATTGACCCACTCAAAAATAGTCTTCCATTGATCTGATGCAAGAGAGTATGCAGCTTTAGAACTTTTTTTAATTTACCTCCATTTGTCTCTTAAAGTTCTAAGGTCCTCCTTTTGCAACACTCGATCAGGTTCATTCTAGCTTACACTATCTTTTATCTTACCTATGATATTCATCATAGTGTTGAAGATGTTATCAAAAAAATATTTTTAATGTACATAACATCAAGATTATGTCTATTAAGATTAGTCTTCCAGCATAAAAGATTTTAGAATATATTGCGCTTCGTCCAGTTGTGCGTGACACTGAAATCACGAGGATGAGTTGAAGTTAGCTTTGGTCTCTTGTTGATCTTCAGGACTTCACTGATCATCTCAAATATTTCGACTCCTGTAATCCTGAGGGGTGATCTTGATCTCTCAATTTTGTTTTTAAAGAATCCATCTTTATTCCTTCTAAATGGGCAATCACGATTTAGAAATCTTAGGTGTCAGTCAAATCATCTCTTTTTTCTACCATGTTTTAAAGTAAATGTCTTTGGCATATCCATGCAGTAAGGATAAGTCAATTTTCAGTTGTGCTCCAACTAGCTAGCATGCCATAGGCCGTGAATCACTAATTGTCCACATAAGAGCCGCTATTAGTTGAAAATTCTGCTTCGTAGCGATGACATATGTAAGCACATCCGGCTCCCATAATATGTGAAGCTCTTCAATCAAAAACTGTAAGTAGACGTCGATTTTTCCCTTCGAGCTATGTGGATTTGGTATAATCAATGTCAGAAATAAGAATGACACGGTATTGCACATATCAGGGGGCAAACTGTACAAAACGATGATCACTGGCTAGCATGAGTACGTGGTGAAGCCATCCGCATATAACCAAAGTCTAACATTGCATACTTCAGCTGTAAAATCTTGTAAATACGGTTGAAATGTCTCCATGCCTCACCATGTGACAGATGATTCATCGAGTTAACATCAACAGATCCAGTATTGTGCCAAGTCATGTGTGGGGTTGTACATATGGAAGCGAACAATCTTTGAAGCCGGGCTATGAACGAAAAATAAAAGTGATGCTTGTATGAAGTATTTTTCTAATTTTTATTCTTTCTCCCTTTTGTTTGAATCTATCTACACCACAAAATCTGCAAGTCATTTCGACTGCATTAGCCTTTTAATAGATCATGCACCCATTAACACAACAATTGTTCTTTTGGCATTGTAAATTTGAAACCAAATTTTTGTTCTGTACAAGTCATCCGACACTAAATTTCCCGCAAGATTAGTCTCTTTCAATAAAGTTGCTACCTGATTAAATGCTCTTCTCGGCATGTTATAATCATATTTGATGGCCAATATTATCGGCATCACTGATAACTCTGTATGTGCAGTGCAACCATCTCATAAAGGTTCTTATGAAGCATTTAGTAAGTCAGAACCTTTGCAATTTGTTATTAGGGTTTAGGGTGTTAAAACCGTAAACCCTAAACCCTAATTTGTTATTCGGTGTTTCCGGTTCGTGTTGAACACTTCCAACAAGTTGAGCTCTCTAAGCTTCATGAATCATTTATTCATGTGTCAGGATCAAATTCCTCTGCAAAGGGGGCATAACTTGTCGAGACACCTCCTTGATCGAACTGAACTTCAAGTTTTTGCTCATCATGTGCATTCTAGTACCAATAATTATGTTTGAATCCCTTGCGGTAAAGATCCAACTTAACTTATTCGGGTGACAGAAGTGTTTGATTTCCTCGTAATGATAGATGGGAAACTGTGATGCCACCTGCACGAATTAATTAATGTCATTCAAGAACTCATATATGGGTTTTTTTGTACTTGATATAATTTGTTATACATCCAAGCTCTCAAATTACGGATATTCATCTGCAGCATACTGTAGTTTTAAAGATCAATGCAATTATTACGAAAAATAAAAATGAAAGACTTAGGCAATATAAATATGAAAATTTAAGTTCAGATGTATGAAAATTTATTGGGGTTGGTCAAATGAATCCTTTTTATCCATATTGTCCTATTGAGTGTCAAAACATCTACCTTTTTTAAAATAAGTCAAATCTGAAACATCAACTCTCCTAATTCGGTCATCAGTTAGTCAATGATTGATGTGACCAATCATTTAAGGCGACTCTCTAATTTTGTATGCCATTGGACACACTCCAACTGTTTCATAGATATATTCGTTTCAAATTTTGTCTTTAAGTGTAAAGCCACTCATCCACCTTAACGTAATAGATCTTATGCATTCGGCTTAACCCTTACAATAGGTGTTATGCATTCCTTCACTTCAACCATCCAACTTGGATTTTTCCAATAACATCCGCATCTATATCACCATTGTTTTCAACAGTTGACCCGACATATCTAGAATGTTCATTCTTTTTAATAAATTGATCATCCATTGTTATAACCCTGTTAGTAAATCCACAACTACGAAAATTTCATTTAATATATTTAGTTTTAGGTTTACTCAAACGAAAACCTTTAAACTCTATGGTTGACCTTCACAATTCAAGATTTTCATGAACTCTCTCTAGTGTTATCCACATGTGTGGGTCTCAATTCTAGTTTTCTAAGATGGTCAATAGGAATTTCTAGAGCTAGAATCTAGGCTCTAAGGAGGAGAAGACAATACCTCACAAAAATGAGGTCAACACCTTCCTAGCTAGCTCTAATGACGATTCTATTGTGAAGTTTCTTACCGAAGACCAACGAACCCTTGAGGGAGAGGGAGAGGGAGAGGGAGAGGGAAAGGGGATAGGGAATGGGGGAAGAGGAGTTGCGCTGGAGGGGAAGATGACGCTTTAGGGCAGAGGGGGAGACGAGCGGGATATAGAGAGAAAAGAAAATTGAGGTGTGCGCGATTAGTAAATTAGGTTATTTGAACGGGATCTGCATCGGTCTAATTAGACGCTAAGTAAAATGTTTGCGACATTTTTTCGACCCTAAGTAAACGCAAAATTCGTGGCAAATCCAAGAAAAGTTTTGTTATTTCCGAAACCTTTATATCGACGAAATGTTCGACGTAAATAGGACGTTAATTCTGACACATGTCATAAATTATATTTCACCGCTTAGTAGTTGCAAATTCAACGCTAATATGTGTTGCGTCGGAAATATCCGACTCAAATATCAGACGTTAAGTACATTTACTCATGTAGTGTAACTAATTAAAATAATAATTTATTTAAAGTGGGTAATAATTATCATGTTTATGTTAGATTTCTAGTTTAGAGTAGTGAACGTCAAGACAAAGTAAATAACAAATTAATCGATATCGAGATGAGTAATTTTACTTTTATAGTATATTGAATTGAATATGACGAGCAAAAGAATGATATGATTGTATTGCTTGTTTTTATGTGCATGACTGATTATAATGGAGTCACTCTTTTATGGTATCAGCGGGGAATGCTAAGGCACCCGTGCACGTATATGAAAAAGGATATTAATATTGAAGTATCTTAAGTGATATAATTTTTAGACGATGTTTCTGTGAAGATTGTACAGTTATAGAATGATATAGATATATTATTGATATATTTAGATTCATTGAATAGCATCAACTATATATATATGCATATGTGTGTGTATTAATTATTAAAATTTTAACTGACATGCATATTATTTTTCTTTTCCCTTGTATTATTATAATTTAATAGTATGAGTATTCAACTCACTGTTATTTGAAATTAACTTTTCAAGTGTAATTAGTTAATTAAAAAACGAGTAATAAAAAAAATAATGTTTATAAAAGATGCGGATAGCCAGTAACAAGATAAATTTAATTTAATTCTTTAATTTAATTTGATTAGCGACTCTTTTATTAATTAAAATGTTATTTATATAATAGATTTAATTTTTATCGTCCGATCATCTGTTCTCGTTTTAGTTAATTCCAAGCCCCGGGTCGGGTCGTGATAATTTAAATCTCAGTTTAGATATTTGCGACTAAGCCAACACATTGACTATGAACGTGTGTTGTTTAGAGTTCATTTGATCCTCGTTGTAATTTTTGAAGTTTTAATATGCAATATGTTAAGACTGTTTGAGTTCTATTTGAATGTCTCATTATGCAAATATTGTGTCAAAAATTGTGGGTGATCAGATGTTGATTTTTATGGTCCCAACAATAGTACTTTATGAATGATAATAAATTTAATGGTTGTAGTGAACTTGCATAAAGTTCTTGTTATTATTATTATTATGTCGTTTAACGACATGCATTTGACTTTTTCCCCTCCTTTTTTTTTTCTTTCAATTTGACTCCAGGGAGTTATCAAAAGTAGGGAACCTTGTAAGCCTTGAAGTTTGCATGGAGATCATGGATCTTCTTTATGAAACAGAGCAGACTTCAATGCTATTCAGCTCTCCTCATGCTCTTTCTGCATCCATTCTTGTATGGTTGTGTATTGTCGTTTTATGTTTCACTTCTCACTTCTATTCGTGCATTTATTTTTGTTGCAAAATTTTGTAGGTAGCTGCGTACTTTTTCATGGTGCCCAAGCAACAGTGGGAGTTCCCTCTTCTTCCTTGGGGTAATGTTTCATCCATTCCTTTTCTGATTTCTTTTATGTTTATACATTAGTAAATATTGAGCAATTATTTTAAATGTGACGCATTTAAAGCATTTCCATGATTGACTTGTATCTGAGTATTCTTTTCCTTTAGACTGAATCCTTTCTGTAAAATCTTACTAGAGATATTTAAAATTAAATAATATTTCATAATCTATTCATACACTACTATATTGTAAATTGGTAAACGAATAAGATTCTAGGGATCTAACAACCTTTTTTTTTCCTATTTTCTTTTTTTAGGATTTTATCATTTGGATGGATACTTTCAACGACAAGGATTGAAAGAGGGGGACAATCGGAAAATATTGCATATTTACTAAATTTCAGTATTACATGCATGAAGTTGGTAAGAGGAAGCAAATATTGAAAGAAAATATAATAAAGGTGAATATCTTCTATAACCCTAAAAAAAGAAAAGATTCTAGGGATCTAACAAATTTTTTTTCTCCATTTTCTTTGTTTAGGATTTTATCATTGGGATGGGTTCTTTCAACAAGGATTGAAAGAGAGGGAGAATAGGAAAATATTACATATTTACTAAATTTCAAAAGTAGTAAAGCATAAAGTAGGTAAGAGAGCAAATATTGAAAGGGGATGTAATAAAGATGAATAAATTCTATAAAAAAAAATATTACAATAATTATTAAAAACAATCCTGAGATTCTCTTGAGAGGAGCATGATCGGTTTATCAAAAAGAGAATTATTTAACTTGGACGTAGAATCCTCAAAGGAGATTTTTTTTGTTGTCAGCAGAATTGATGCATTTATATACATAAATAGAAATAATTGAACATAAAGGAAATAATATCGAGTATATACTCAATCAAGAGAATAGGTTACATAGTAATAACAGTTCATGTTAAAATATCCTCATTATTAATTTGCAAATATGGTACAACAACATTTTCTCTCTTGTTGTTACATATATATCATAATGATTCAACATGTTTTGAATATTTAGAGAATTGAAGTAGTTTCATAGCCTTTGTAAAGATCGGTGCTAAGTACTCTTCACTAGCAACGTGAGGATTCATGATCTTCTATGATACAATGACATCTATGATGAAATTACAAACTACTTTAATATATTTTTGTTCTTTCATGAAATGTAGGGTTGCTTTCAAGTTGATTGCGTGATTATTACACTTAAGAATCATATGTTGACTGATAGGATAGCAACTTCAATTTTTTTAATTACACTTTTTATCCTCATCTTCAGATATATATTTATAAGTACTAACATATGCTGCATGGTTAATCTTTATTCTAGAGTCACCTTAAGAAGAAATCTATTTATGATTTTTTTTTGTAAATAATTAAGTGTTATTCTTATTTTTTAAAGTACATGTTGTTATTGCAAGATTATAAGCTGTTGTGTAATTAAATGTAACTTCTCTCATTACATTTCTGTCCTG